CCACATTTGTCTTTGTCATTCTGCTGTGAGGGTAACTTTTTTCTCTTTTCTCCAAGAAAAATGTATAAAATGTACTTTTTAAAAAAATAAACAAAATGGTATGTATTTAATAACCTTTCGTAAAACTGTACTTTAGACTAATTATCATTTTAGTAGTCCAGTTTAAAATAACTACATTACATGCATTAAAAAAAAAGAAACATCTGAAAGGAAAAATTTAATAGAGAAGCAGATGTCATCATTGTAATTATTACAACCTCCCTGGGTGGCATTTGGGTAGACTGTCCACCCCCATCCTGCCTCTCTGGCCTCCCCCAGCCACCTTCCTGGCAGCCATACTCTGGCCTTACTTCACTGCTCACTGGGCCCCCAATTAGCCACATGCTCCCAAAGTCCTGTCTTCACTCATGCCACCTAGAAAGCCTTTCTCACAGTTCTCCTCCTGCTGAAATCACCCTTCTCCTTGGCACCTCGATATCTTGGTAGCACATTTTGGACTTAGTGCCTCACAATCTTAAATAAGTAGCATTCAAAAGATGTGTCCAGATCAGTTGTCAGGAACCTAAATGTTCAGATGGCATAGAACTAAACGTGTGATACTGTGATTGGGTTTAGTTTCTGGTTGTCAGTCTTCACACTTGGGCGGCCCTCCTCGAACCCTCGCTCCAATTTTCTTTCACAGTCCCGCTTTCTGAGATGCAAGAAGAATGTTTCCTGGGATGGTGGAGCATGAAGGAGGCAGAAAGCTTTGGAGAGAGGAGGGAGGTGAATGAAGTGTGTTTCAATGCTAGGGTGGCGTGCCACATGCAGTGGCAACAGCAGTATTTGTACCAACTTGGGTGTGCTTTGACAGTCAATGTCAGTCTTGCGCCCACTTCTTGTCTGAACTTCATTGGGAGACAGCCTTGCTGGGGGTCCCACATGGACAAGAGGCAGCCTGGACAGAGTTGGGGAGTTGCCCGAGAGGTTTTGATAGAGAGAGGGCCAAAAAGATCCCCAAGAACAAGCCTCCCTTACTTCCTGCCTGGAATGATGGAACTTCCAAACTTCCCAGGGAGTTGAGAGCCAGTGTGTAGGAATAACACTATTATAGGAACCACATCTCAAGCCAGAGACCAGTTGGAGTACAGAGGGGGTTAAATGAGGGCCCCCAAAAGATATATCCATGTCCTAACTCCACAACCTATGATTGTGACCTTATTTGGGGGAAAAAAAGGGAGGGGGGTCTTTGCAGATGTAATTAAGGATCTTGAGATGAAATGGGATTACCCAGGTGAGCCTAAATCCAGATGGGCCTTAAAAAGGTGTTCTTATAAGAGATAGATAAGGACAAGACACAGGAAGAAAGAGAAGGTCATGTGAAATCAGAGACAGAGATCCGAGTGATGCCACCACAAGCCAAGGAACCCTGGGGCCACTAGAAGCTGGAAGGGGCAAGGAAGGACCCTCCTCTAGAGCCTCCTCCGGAGGGAGTGTGTCCTGCTGACAACTCGATTTTGGACTTCCAGCCTCCAGAACTGTTACAGAACACATTTCTGTTGTTTTAAGCCACCAAGCTTGTGCAAATTGTTACAGCAGCCTGAGGAAACTAACACAGATCGTGTCACTGAGAATCAGAAATCTTAGCAGATGCTGCAAGAGCTGAGGTGGTGACTAACTGAGCAGGGAGAAAGACCGGAGCTCCCAAAACAAGCGCCATCACTGCCTCGACGGGTGACAAAGGAGAGGCCACATGGCCGCAGTGGACGAGATGCTGATGACGATAACCAGCCCTAAAAAGAAAAGGAGCATTTATTCAAATGTAACTGAGTTTTAAAGGACTAAATTGGATTGATACAGCAAGATTCAGTTTTCAGCCATCAACACAAATGGAGGGCTTCTGGATTAAACTAAGTTCATTTGTAGAAATATCAAGAAAATTATTTTAGTTTCCTATAGCGAAGTTTACGTCTGTATGTTTTCTTACAGACTATACCACACACCACTGTTGTTGGGGGAGGGTTAAATGAAAATATGGTAGCTGCAATCTGTTGAGCTATTATTATTATAGCCGTCGGTATTTTACAAATGAGGGCACTGAAATGCACAGTGGGCTAGTGGTTGCCACATAGCTTGTGACTATTTGCTAACTGAGGTCCCAAACCACAATGCTTTTTTCTACCACCATGCCAATCTACGTCTGCTTAATTCTGTGAACTTCATCGCTGTGAGCACGATATTATGTCTGTGTTCCTGACCGGGCACTGTCTGGCACATCAATGGAGTCCAATCAATTGCTTGTCGAATTTAATCGAATAACCTAACCTCACTGTCCTTAAGTAACCTGCCAGCTGGCCATCTGTCTGGTGTTGGGCAAATAATTAAAAATAAAATCTCCTGCCAACCCAGAAAACCTTTCCTCCAAGGTAGACAAGAAAGAAAACAGTTTTATTATCAAATAAGCACTAACCCAGACTGCAGTGGGCCTCACAGGCGACCTGCTAAGAAATCACAGAGACAGAAAGCAGCTCACACTTTTATACATATCCCTACATTGCATCCATGTTCTCAAGATGGAAAATACTAGTCCTCAAGTAAAAAGACTCAACAGCACCATTATAGTTCCCCCTAAATTCACCTGGTAATTGGGGTGACCATCAGTAACTAATTGCCTCTATCCAAAGGAAAAGTAAAATTTCTCATATCTCTGTGACAAGTAGTTGATTTTGCTGCTTGGAGCCAGGTGGCTAAGTTACACTCCCACCCTCCCATGGAGAAGGGGAAATAGGGTGCTATTCCTGCGTTGTGGAACAGGTGAGGCTTTCTTAGAGCTTGTAAAAAGATTTATGCACATCTCAAAGGGACAGAGGAAGAATTTACAAGGACATGTTTTCTAAGGAAATGCCCTAAGAAAAGGGAGGGGAACAGTTGCTTTCCCTTTTCTCATCAAGGAAAATTATTATAACTATTATTATTATTTAGAATTTTTGTTAGCCCTTTCACTTGGAAGATAGGACAACTGGTAACTTAGGACACAGAGCTCACGTGTCAGTGAGTGATAGAAGTGGTGTGAGACAGCTCATACTCGCAACAGGGGACCTTCAGGTGGACCTCTCTGAATCTAGGGTGAGGTTGCCAGGGAACATAGACTCCTCCTCTGATGTTACTTTTGATGATAACATCAAGGTCAACATCAAGATCATGGGAAGGGGGCTAAGCTTGGAGTGAACTATTAAATGTCCTGTTTAGAATAATGCCTGGGTTAGAGTAAGCATGAATATGTCTGTGCCCATGGTGTGTCAGACATGATGACATCAGTAAAAATCTATGGTCTAGGCCATTCTGTAGCTTCTTTAAACTCTGATAGGATTGCAAAGGACATTACTATAAAAAGGAAGAGTACTGGCACTTGTCCCAAGCCAAGCATATCCTGTTAGTTTTAATAATATTTGGAGGCTTTTTTTTTCCCGTTGTTATATACTCATTACATCTGGAAAAGAGCTAGCTAGCCATTAACTTCTGCATAATAATCTCTCTGGTACTTAAAAGCCATGGCTAAATTGCCTCAGTTTTCTTACCTCCATGCTTAATCATCTAATGTTAACAAATGGGAATAATTTGTTAAGAGGGAAATTGAAAGGAAGAATATAAATTAGGAGTGAGAATATATTTCTAATTTATAATCTATACAAATGTGAAGCTTTAGAGAATTCAAAACTGAAAAGGGACTAGAAATTAAAATATTTTTAAATTCTACATTTTTGTTGTTTTCTTTCTTTTACCTTACCCATTCTAAAAGAAGCAACGCTTTTTTTTTTTTTTAATTTGGGAAATATGGTGAAACACAAAGAAAAGGAGAAAAATCCACTTTCCACAGACAAGCACCGTTAACATTTCTAAAGAACCTCCTTCTAGCATTTTCTCTATTCCTTTTTTCTCTTCTAACACATATACTCTTATTTAATATTGTAATGTAAGCATTTTTTCAATACTAATTAAAATTCATGAGTGCATTAGTTACCTATCACTATACAATAAATTATGAACAACGTAAGAGCTTACACCACAATGAACATTATCTCATGCAGTTTCTGGGGTCGGGAGCCTGGGACAGGGTTAGCTGGTATTTCTGTTTCAGTGTCTGAAGTGTTTCCAGTTAAGATGTTGGCTGGGATTGTGGTGACCTAGTTACCTAAAGGCTTTGCTTGGGCTGGAGGATATTCTTCTAAGATGAGTCACTCACATGGCTTTTGGCAGGAGACCTCAGTTCATCATTACATGGGCCTCTCCATGTAGGGTCCCTCAAGAGTCCTCATGACATGGCATCCAGCCTTCTCCAGAGTGGGTGACCCAGGAGAGAGCAAGGCGAAAGCCACAATGTCTCGTCTCACCTAACCTCATAAGTCACACACAATCATATCTGTAACCTGTTGGTTACACAGACCAGCCAAATTTATTGTGGCAGGGGACTCACAAGAGTGTGAAGACCAGGGGACTCACAAGAGTGTGACGACCAGGGGAACTTCTGTAAGACTAGCTACCACAGTGGGACTTTCTAATAGCTGCATGAATTTTATAATAGAGATCTCTACAACTGTATTAACTATGTATATGAGATTATATATTATTTCCAGTATTTCATTATTGCAAATAACTTTATCAAGCACCTTTGTATAAAAAACTTCTCATCAGTACTTCAGATTAATTTTTTTTTTTTGGCTATGGTCTCAGAAGTAGGATTATTGAATTATAAAAAAAAATTTTCTTAATTCCCATTTTAAATTGCCTTCATAAGCAAATTAATATTTTATATTTATTTCAGTTAACATATGCATTTCCTTCAATGTATTTGTGATAAATACCTTATAATACCTAGGCAATGATTCACAACTACATGTTTATTTTTCATTTAATGCATTCTATATGGTGTGTATTTTAGGTAGGTATTTTATATCTATATATATAATATTTTGATACTTACAGCATGTGGGTTTTTTCATTGTTATTTAACCGTTTTATAGATCCTCCTGAGTTTGTTTGTTGCTGTTATTTTGGACAACTTAGAACTTGATGAAGATCTAAAGAAGCTTAAACAAGTAAGTAATGTATGGGGGATTCTTTAAAACATGTACTTATAGGTTATATTAAAGAAGTTTGAGCTTCAAAGTAAAAAACTAGATTTTAATAAATTAGGGCAGCCTAAGTTGGCAAAATTTTTTGTTTGTTTATTTAACTTCTACCCATTATCAGCAAAGGAAATTTTCTATTGCTCCATAGTTATCCTAGGAATATTTTCATATTATTATTATTATAAGTAAATATAAGATTGGCATAGTATAGTGAATTGGATTTGGAGACTATCCTCCTTCTGCCATTAAATGAAGGTTGTCTGGAAATGAAATGCCTCAGGGTCAGATTGCTATTTTGCATAACTATATGAAATACTTTTGATCATCATCATAAAAATATTAAACACCAATTTGCCTGACCTCTAGACACTAAAAGAGAATTTAGTCTGGGTTCCCATGGTTATTATAAGAAATCGAATAGAATAAATGATCAACTGTGTGCCCAGTTATGTATGAACACAGATTGGGTGTTATGGCTATGATAATCATATCAAAACAAAATAGAAATGAAAATGTGTGAAAGTTATTTATTGATGGCAGAAAGATAACAGCTATGAGCAACCATTCTCATAGTCTCTGTTACATGAGGATATATGGCTTGTATATTTGCCTCTATCAAAGAGTATAGACCTTTTGAGAAGCAGAGTTAGTGGGAAAGAAGGACATTGGGTACCATATTCTTGGATCACCCTCCTCAACGCTGCAAGAGTAGCTGGGAGGTTAACAAAGACAACCAAGGCTCTAAAACAAATTCTGTCTGGAATTCCATGAAGCCCTATGCCTTCAGAATTTTCAAATTCCATCTGAATTGTCAACATGTAGCAAAGCAAAGATATAGCCTATTTAAATTATTTTGTTGTCATTTACATATCTGAAAGTCACTTTAGGCATTTCATCTTATCACTCTTGTTTATCTCCAATGCCTGTAATTTTAACTAAGGGTTGTCAATAAAGACAAAGAATTGATATAAAGATGCCCATTTAAATAAACTATATGTACTTTGCTTTGAGTATATATCATTAGTTATAAAAAAAAAGCTTTTATTTAATCATTTGCTAGATATTAGTGATGTTCTGTGTTTCTGGAAATACTGTTCATCAGAGATGATTATCCAATAGTGCTAGCCTATAATTTGAAATATCTCCTTTGAATAGAGACATTTGAGCATTGAAAATCCCAATCTTAAATAAAACAGCAAATCTCTTTTTATTAGTATTTTTTCACTTTTTTTTTTTTTGCCATGATTGGACTGAAACTACGTTTCTGTTAAATTCATCCATTAATTTTATACTTGAACTTCACTAAATTGCTGTGGACCAAATATTGTTAGAGTAAGCTAAAATGTTCCTGGTTCACTTTCTTTCATTTTTTTATAAGAATATTTTGTGTTTTCACCAGTTTTTAACAATGATGTCACTTTTTTATATCCCTGGTTTTCCTTATTTTCTTTGATTTGGGCCTTTGAGGTAGAGCTCACAGAGTTTCAAAAATACATTCACTCACACACACACATGTACATGCATGCATCACTTTCATACACACATGCAAATAATGATGTGGATACCTGAAGCTTTAAACTGTCTTTTACAGCTTCTTTTAAACTGCCAGTAAAAATGTTACCTGAAATATTTGTTTAGTTTTCCATGTGCAGGTCTAGCCCTTAAAGATTTAAAGGTGTATACTCTATTTTTACTATTCCCAGATAGATAAAGAATGGGGAAAATGTGAAAAAAAGTGCTTGATTTTCTTAGTGTTTGAAGTTTAGAAAGCACTATGTATTTCAAAGTCTGTCTTTGTTTAGTTCAAACTTTTTTGTTATCTTTTACCCTTTCCACCAACTAGTCTGTAGGTACTTATAGCTGCAGTAACATTTGTTGAGCACTCACTCAGTATCAGGGGCTTTGCAGTTTAACTTATTTAATTTTCACGACAACCATGTGATGGAGATATTACTAATATATTCATCTTACAGATGAGGCAACGAAGGCACAGAGAAGTTAAGTAACTTGCCTAGGGTCACACAGATAATAAGTGCAGAATTAGGATTTGAACCCAAAAAATTTGGACCAAAAGCCCAGACTCTCTACACTATATTGAGTTGAGCTAAAGATATATAAATGCCAAACAAGAGTCATGCTTTATGTGGAGGCTCACTCACAGGACTGTTAATCACCCATTTATAAATAATGATATTTTAGTTGATAGAGATGTCATTCTATTCACCAAAAAACTGTTGATGTCAGAGAAAATTTTCTGAGACATAGAGGTGAATTAAGCAACCCAATCATTAAAACTATCTAAAATAGGTCTTTGTTTCCCCTTGAAAATCAGATGACCTAATCAGAGCCACTGGAGTTATGACTTTTAAAGACTTTAGGAGCTAAAATGCTTACTATTCACTCCACATCATGACAGATGCTGCCCAAGGCTCCTCATCTCTCAGTGACCTTCTGAAGCAATGACCCTCCTTGGACACAGACATAGTCTAATTGCAGCATATTAACATTTTAGCCAGGTCTCTAGAGGCTTTTAATCGATTTTATTATGATTGTGGAGAAAAACATTGTGTTGAAATATAAATGTTGGCTCAGACATTTTTCAAGAGTACTAGGAATCAGTGCGAGTTACCTCTAAAATGGAGACGTTAAATAGGAAACGTTAAGCAGAGCTATTAGAAAAAGAGAATTAGTTGTCACACTTGGGAGAGGAAATAGGACCCTGAAGATAGGCAAGGTAGGAGATTACGTTGAAAGCTTAAGACTACAGTGAAAGAATTGGAATGGAAGAGAAGAAATAAATGAAGAAGTAAACTAGGAAAACATTTAAGATATGAAGTTAAGGGAAAGATCACAGATTATGACACAGTGATAAAATGGGAGCAACGTGACCTAATCCGGAGTCTGGACAGTGATAAAGTCAGATGGCCAAATGTCGAAGGCCACCAAGGCCACCAGGAAGAAGTTTCCCCAGGACAAGTATGGTCTACATGATCAGAGCAGTTGCTGAAATTGTGGAATTGTGTTCTCCTTAGTTAGAAACATGATGCTATATATATATATATATATATATATATATATATATATATATATATATATTTTCCCATTCTTGTCTGAAGTCATGTCCTTGCCCTTTAAGACAGTGGTTTTCAACCAGGGATTGCTGACCTCTAGGGGTTTTCAAGAGAAGCTATGGAGCCAGCAGCCCTTTTTTACTACTACAGGAAGCCAAAAGGGAATTGTTCATTTACCCAATGGAAGACCAAATGTGCTAACTAAAATGCCAACTTTAATACTTTTAGGGGGAAAATCTGCAAATTCCTAGGTGGCAGCTCTGCTTCCCCCAAGCTAAAGCTCTGACACCTCTCCATGTATGCTTTCCTTGAAGGAAAAAGAAACAAAATTGAATTATTTATTGCTTAATAAAGATGTTTTGATAGACAAAGAAGGTTTTTTTAAGAAAGCTAAGATTCAGAGAATAGAGTAAAAGGGCTCCTTGGAGAAGAGTTTTGAAAGGTTTTGACACAAATGCCTATTCCCGCCACTCCCTTCTCCAAAATATCTCCAATGTTGTGCTTTAGTAGTTACCAAATGTAGCTGTTCCTTTGTCACTCTTCGAAATAAATAATGTTCTAAAAATATCATACCAATTATATACAATATGTAAAATCAACCTATTGCTGTCCCTGTGTGTTTCATATAAGATGCAATCGATTCCTAACGGCTATATACAGCAGTAGCAATCATTTCATAGAAGCTGTAATTTACATGACTCCAAATCTAATTAAACAGTGAGTTTTTTTGTTGTTTTTTTTTAGCTGAGCCATCCTGCCACCTGTTAGCAGCTCAGCGGCTGCTGAGCTCAGGCCGGGAAACAAACTGCTGTTGCTCAGAGCTCACACTCTTGAGCGAGCTCTTAACCAACTGAGCCACTCGGCTGGCCCTCCACATCTAATTAGAGAGCATGCTTGTCTTTTCAGAATCCCCAAAACCCAATAATGGGCGGGGAGAGGGAGAGGAAGAGGGGAAGGTTTTCTACATAAGATCAGAAAAGTGACTAAAAAATGAGATTCTTGGTGAATATGTAATTTGGCTGTTGAGAAGCCAAATCACTTTGTATAGAGGCTTAAAAAAAAAAGCCCTTGACCTACTACTGTCCTCTGAACAGTAGGAGGAGACAATGACCTTGGTGTAGCAATAACACTGCGGAATGTAGGTGGAGTTTCGCAAACTTTGAAACTGAAGGGAATTCTTGCAGCTTTAATGATTTTTGTAAATTCAGTGCAAGACAGATATAAAGAGTTTTCTTTTAAGCAATATGAAATTCATTAAACTATGAAGAAGAAAAAAACCCACAGAGAAGCCTCAGGGAAAGAATCATTGAAAAGAGAAGTATAGATACTCTGTTTAGATTAAATTCAAGGCTCTAAAATTAAAACTGTTTCCCCAGCTCTGTATCAAGTCTGATTTGAGTCCCAGTTCGAATTTGATATTTGGCCTGGATGATAGCCACTGCATATTGAGAGTGGGAGGTAGGGGTATGTAAAGAAGCTTCTCTCTCTTATTAACTGTGATTTTTTTTTAACAAAAACAATAAAAATCTTATATTCCTTTTTAAAATGTGAGCTCTGGGTTAAAGTTTCTTTTTAGCCTTACCTGGGATCTTTCATTTAATCTCTGTCTGGTCTCCTATATTGAAGTCATTCCAGATTTAGGACAGCAGCAAGGAGACAGGGTGTTGCCAGAGCATGCCACTCATCTCAGCACTGGTTGCCATCTCCTGATCTGAGTCAATCCTTCATTCTTCTCAGTATTTTGCTCCATCTCTCATGAGTGAACTCAACCTAATGTAACATAAAAGAGAGTGATATAACTGCTAAAAAAATAAATAGTACTTATTGAAAACTACCTTATGTAAGGCACTTCATATTAAATTATTGAATTTAATCCTGAATATTAAAGACACAGAA